TCAAACAATTTATCGAGCTCTGATTCAGCCGTATTTTGATTATTGTTCTCCCATTTGGGGCGTCTGTGATCAAAATTTGAAAAATAAACTCCAAAAATTTCAAAATCGCGCAGCCCGAATCATTGTCGGTGCAAGTTATGAGATTAGATCTGCTGATGTTCTTCAATCTCTTGCTTGGGACAATTTAGAGACAAGACGACGTACAACCAAAGCAATATTAATGTTTAAAGTCTTGAAGGATTGCGTGGGACCTACGTTGAAAGAATCCTTGATAAGACGCAATCATATGCAAACAAATTATGATCTTAGAAATAGTCATACAGATTTGGCTCTTCCTAAGCCTAAAAGAGAATTCCTAAAAAAGAGTTTTAAATACAGTGGGGCTAAGCTATCAATACGAAACTGGCAGAATCAATGCACCTGTTCAAAAGCCATTTAAAACTTAACTCTAATACTATATATATTTGAAATAAATTGTAACTCCGTCTAACCATAACATCTGGGGTCACACCAATTTGTAAATAGTCTTCTTTTCCCTTATATCTTTTGTAATTTTTAACATTGTAGACGCCCCCCGTGGAAACCAACGCACCGTTGACGGGGCTAGTGTCTCTAAATAAAGTTTTAATACAATACATACAATATATAGGCCTAGTGCTAAAACGACACGATAAAAATTCTTTATTTTTGATGCATAAAAACAATTATTTGTCTGATCGCTTTAGCCTAATAACCATAGATATCTCATATACACTAGATAGCGCATCTCAGAATACAAAATTGAAGCCAAAAATCTCAGCGGTTTCCCCCATGAAAATAGGCGGCGGCCATATTGGTCGTTCCTACTCATTAATGAAATGCTATAGAAAATACTATACTTTTCTGCATTTGTGGATTAAAAACACCTTTTTGAGATATGTTCGCCTTGAAATCGCAGATTTTTTGGAAAAGGTGACAAGAAAAACATTAATTGGCGATGTTGTTGTCTTTGAATCGCATTTTAGAGCTAAAAATTTCGAATTACTGCATTCTTTATTATATTGTCAAGTGTAAAGAGCATATTGAAACTGTGAATGATTCTCTGGTGAAATATCGTGTAATATACATACGGTTTCTGGCACAACGTTATGGAAATGAAAACTTGGTAAGTAACGTTTAGACTATCAGCGAAGGCAGTTTATACTGTAAAATGTTTAAGACCGAGTCTTCACTTTGAACTTTCAGCTTGGGCAATTTTCACTGTAAAAAATCTTTAGTAAAATGTTTAATTAATTAAGACAGAGTCTGCACTTGGGCATTGTTCACTGTAAATCTTTAGTAAAATGTTTAAGACAGAGTCTGCACTTTCAGCTTGGACAATTTTCACTGTAAATCTTTAGTAAAATGTTTAATTAAGACAGAGTCTGAACTTGCGCATTCACTGTAAATCTTTAGTAAAATGTTTGAGACAGAGTTTGCACTTTCAGCTTGGACAATTTTCACTGTAAATCTTTAGTAAAATGTTTAAAACAGAGTCTGCACTTGGGCATTCACTGTAAATATTTAGCAAAATGTTTGAGACAGAGTCTGCACTTTCATCTTGGGTGGTTTTCACTCTAAATTTTTAGTAATAATTAACTTCCTCTGATACATTCTGTGTATAAGTCACTGGTGGTTAAAAAGTACAAGTTTGTTTAATTTCTTTCTAATTTTTTGTACAGATGAATTCTCAGTGGTCTTCTTCCCAAGATGATAAAATTTAACTTTGCAGTAACTTTTGATGATGCTCTTGATCAACTGATCAAGTGAACAACATGATTTTCACCAACTGGTGAGTCAAAAAGATGGTGATCTAGCTCAGTAAAAAGACTGGGTATGGACCATGAAGAAGCTGGAACTTTATCCTTAAGAAATCTATAAAGGATGTTTATCAGACTAAGAAACTGGAACTTTATCCTTAGGAAATTAGTAAAGGATGTTTATCATGTAATGCAAGTCTAGTTTCAATCTATAGAATAGTATACTTGTAAAAATAAATTGTTTACTGATGAAATGTCCTGGGAAG